GGAAGAGTTGCGCTGGCAGGAGCGGGGGGAGGGCAGTCCACTTGGGCCAAGACCTTTGTCACTCAGACCTGCTTCTCAGCATCGTTGTCTTCTGAGCCCCGGGGGCTGCACAGGATCTTTGCTCACTGCTGCGTGTGCAAAGAGGGCTGGGGGAGCTGGAGCAGCCATTCCTCTCCCTCCTTTCATTGCTGCAGCATCTCTTGAAGGGCAGCTGCTGTTTTCTTGGTGTTTATAGGGATGGCTGGGGGGAGCTGCATGTCTGGAGGAGCCGCCTGGGGCGGTCACTGCTGAGAATTCAAAATGCTCCCCAAAGACTGACTGAGAAGGCCAAAGAGGGTCAGAGGCAACAAAATGGGAAGCGGAAGGCCCCCCCCCCCTTCATCCCTGCCCTTCCCTACCTTAGAAGATCATGTTCTCTGGAAGCTGATTGGTGTGGGGGGGACAGGGAAAATTAAGGAAGAAAGAGGAAAGAGAACAACACTGGAGGGAGGGAGGGAGGGAGGTGGTGAGGGCCCCCACCTTCCTTTTTTTAAAATAAAGTTTTATTCGTTTATATATAGAAAGGGGGAAAGGGGAAAGAAAGAGTAGAGAGTTTTATATATAAAAATTCCAAATTAACATTCTGCATGCAAATCTCCTCCTGAAAGTTTCACAACTAGTATAACCATCTTTCTTATTGTTCTTCATATAGTCTTAGTTTCTTAGTACTTATGTTTTAACCAGTCATAAACTGCCCTCCGTGGTCCCATAAACCCTTCTTCCATTTTTCCTTTTAGTATATTTGTCAATCTGTCCATTTCAACGCATTCCGTAATCTTCGTTATCAACTCATTAAGCGTTGGGATTTTCAGTGTCCTCCATGTCGTTGCGAATAAGATTCTGGCTGCTGTTATAACGTGTAAAAAGGGCCCCCGCCTTCCTTGTGTGTTTGCCCATGAGCCCCTCCATCTTGTCTTGGAGTGGGGTCTTCAGAAGTCTCACCAGCTAGCTCCTGGCTCAGGCGAGCCTGTTTTTGTCATGAGGGTTGCAACAGGCCTTGTTTTGAGATCGGAAGGTTCTTTCCTGCCTCGCTCACTCAGACATGCAGGTTCTAACTTGACAATAAGCTCAAGTGATGTATACACATGTGTGACCCCCTCTTCCGCGTGCTTGTGCAGGCCTGTCTAATCTCATCATGGTGGCAGGAGTTGGCACCATGTGCCCTGATCTTCATCCTGTGCTCTCTTTCTCCCAACCCAGTCCCCAGCGCGCCTGAGATAGACACGGCCGAGTCCTTGGTGGCTGACAACTGTGTGACGCTCGTGTGGCAGATGCCAGAGGAGGACAGCAAGATTGACCATTATGTGCTGGAGTACCGCAAGACCAACTTTGAGGGGCCACCCCGGGTCAAAGAGGATCAGCCTTGGATGGTCATAGAAGGAATTAAGGAAACCGAGTACACCCTGTCAGGTGGGGGCGGGTTGACAGGGGAGCGTATCTGCCCCACAGCTGCCATTGCCTTTCTGCAAGGGACCCCGGAAATTGTAGACAAGATACTACGTACGCGCCAGGGTTCTTTCGTGAAAGGGTCCAGTTGGTGACAGGCACAGATGCTAGCTTCTTAAAAATCAGAGCTTTCATTTTTCAAAGTAACAGCGGAAGTTTCTAGTCCTCATGGATACAAAGGTGCCCTTGAAAGCCTATGCGTGATGCTGGCAGACCTCTCAAAGCCAAAAGGGGAATCTGAGGCTTCCCCTGGTTGGGGGCGGAGCTGCAGTGTTTCTCCCCCCCCCCCCATGCATAGCGTCACCTGTTTAAAACATTCAGATGAGAAGAATGCCTGCGGCTTGCAGGAATTTGGGTTCTGTGGTTCAGAATCTGAATCTGTTTTGGCATTTTCTCCGTATAAGATGTTTTGAGCGACGGTGGGCTTAGGGTGTCAGTAACAGAGAATTCTTATCATACTACAATTCCCAGGATCCTTGCAGTGGGAGGGCATGGCCGTCGATGAATTAATCTGACCTGCGTGCCGTTGTTCCTGCAATGTTCAGCGACTTGTCTGGGAAGTCTAGCAAGGCAAGATGTGATGGGGAGCTGTCATGATCTGGCCTGTGCCAGTACGGCCTATCCAGCCTAAGAGGCCTGGGTGGCAGTAGGAGGCGGCTAGGCCTACAACTCTCAGAAGGCATTGGGAGAGGGAGAGAGAAGATTCTAAAGAGACCGTTGGAGTCGGTTGGGAAGACAGTCTGAGAGGAGACTGTGATAGTCTGGTGAGAGAAGGAATCTGAGCTGTTCGCTGAGGGAAAAGCGTGTCTTTTGTCTCTCCCTGCGGCCTGATCTTAGTGAGAAGATAGGCTGGGCTGGGAAGAGGAAGATCCCTCCGTCCTTCGTCTCTCTGCAACCTGATCTCAGTGAGAAGACAGGTTGGTCTGCGAGGAAAGGATCCCTCAGCGTGAGTGTTAGGCAGGCTGGGGGCCTGGAAGTAAAACAGTTAGGAGTAACAGGTAGCTGCGTTAGTTTATGTTTATTTTTCCTTTCACACTGTTATCCCCTTTTTAAGCACCTTGCCGTGTCTTGTTTTTCCCTGCCCCACTGTTGTTTTAATAAACCCTTTTTGTGTAATTATTTTCTCTGCCTGAGTCAATCACGCCTGTATTGCTCGGCTGAAAAGGGGCTTGGGAAGGTACCCTGGGCCTCCCAAGGGACCATAAATCCAGGGTGGTGGCGGCGGAACCCAAAGACCCCTCTGGGGTCATGACAGGAGCATATCTAGACTCCCCCCTTCCATGTGCTGTTCTGTCATCTCTGTAGGTCTGAAATTTGACATGAAATATATGAACTTCCGGGTCAAAGCCTGCAACAAGGCTGTCGCTGGAGAGTTCTCGGAGCCCGTCACCCTGGAAACGAGAGGTGCGTAAACCAGGGGAAGGGGCGGGATGGATTTCCAGCATGATCAGAGAGGGGGATTGCCCCATACAGAGTTGTTTATGCCACAAAAATTGGGTGACATTCACTGCCCAAAGTTGGTGCGCTTAATTCTGATTGGAATAGACCTGCCCCCTTGTGATGGCAAGCCCCATCCACAGAGCAGGACTATACAACAGCTATTTCCCAAAGAGCCCTTGAGGAAGGGGGATAGTTTGGGAGGAAACCTGGACTTCAGTCCATGGTTGGTCTCTCGGTCTTTCTCAGGTGGAATGTTTATAAACATTCCATCATGCTGCACCATCTGTCTGATTTCAAAATATCAGAGTCAGATCTCTCAGTCAATAGCTACAGAGGTTGAATCCTACAGCTCGGACTGACTTCACAAATGGCTAGAAAGGCTCTCCGTTCTGTGTTACTACATCCCTGAGGCCGTGCTGATGTACAACAGGACAGATGGGATATTTGTCCCATAAAGCCAGGAAGTGATGTCGGTCTCAGAATGGGAAGGGAGGGACGCAGATCTCAGCTCCTCCCTGAGTTGCTCCAGATGGGATTTCTCCTCTCCCGCCAGCATTTATGTTCCGCCTGGATGGCAGCACCAGCCACCAAAACCTCAAGGTGGAAGACCTCAGTGTGGAATGGGATGCCATGGGTGGGAAGGTGCAGGACATCAAAGCGCGAGAAAAAGACGGGAAGGGCCGCACCGCATCTCCGGTCAACTCCCCAGCCAGGTAGTGCCTGTTTGTTCTTGCCCTGGTGCTATTTATTACTTTCTGTTCTTTATTTATTCTTCATGTGTGCCCTGCCTTTCTGCCCAAAGTACCTTACACTCTTCTCCTCTCCTTCCTTTTATCCTCACAACCACCCTGTGAGGTGGGTTAGGCTGAGAGAGTGTGACTGAAGTGGGGATTCGAACTCGTGTCTCCCAGATACTAGCCCAGCGCTCTTAAACGTTACAGAACGCTGGTTCTCCTTCTGCCTCTGCTGTTTTCTTGACTTGGAACAGTGCTGGGTTTTGCCTTTTGACCCTTTGAGGCGTGACTGACTCTCACATGGGGTGGGAATTTGGAACCCCAGTCTGTGCGCCCGGTGATGTGTGCTGCATCTGGGTCTGGTCCTGAGTTTGCTGAGTGTCCCTCTCCTCCCGCAGGTCAGTGCAGTCACCCAAGAGGATGCCATCAGGCCGTGGAGGGAGGGACCGTTTCACTGCTGAGTCCTACACCGTGTTGGGTAAGGAGAACTTTGGCTTCCCAGGAGAATGGAACGTTCTGGAGAACAGAAATGTTTGTCTCCATCTACTGGAGCTGGCAACCAGCACAGGTGAGGCCAGGTATAACATGGTGGGCAACAGGCAGAACAGAAGAATCCTGAAAGGAGAGTCGGATACACTGGAGCAGGGCGAGGCAGAGACTGGTAAATAAAGCATGGCGCTAAGGGAGGAGGAAGAGGAGGAGGAAGAAGAAGAAGAAGAGGGGGAGGAGGAGATTGGATTTATACCCCGCTCTTCACTTGGAGTCTCAGAGCAGCTTACAATCTCCTTCCCTTCCCCTCCCCACAACAGACACCCTGTGAGGTAGGTGGGGCTGAGAGAGCTCTTTCCAGAACTGTCCTTGAGAGAACAGCTCTGAGAGAACTTGTGACTGACCCAAGGTCACCCAGCTGACTGCATGTGGAGGAGTGGGGAATCAAACCCTGTTCTCCAGATTAGAGTCCACCACTCTTAACTGCTACACCAATCTGGCTCTCAAACTGGCACTGGTCTACAGGTAGAGTCTGGAGGGAACAGACCAGTCAGAGGAGGTATAGCTTTGCTTGGTGTGGATAGAATCCAGCAGAGTCTGGAGCTGATGGATTTTCAGGGCCTGGATCTCATTCTTTGGCAAAATGTAGTCATGCCCTATGGGCAGAGCTTGCCGTCACAAGGAGTGGCGCAACCAGACTTAGCTCCATCCCCAAAGGTGGAGCAAGCCCCGCCCATAGAGCATGACTAGAGAGTATCCAGAGGGGACTGTGCGACTGAACAACAACAACAGAGAGTATCCAGAGGGAACATAAGACCATAAGCTGTATTTAGCTTTGGCTTTGTTTTAATGAGGTAGTTTTTGATTTATTTCAATGGTTTTTAAGATGTGATTTTATTAATGTGTTTTTAATTGGTTAGCTGCCTTGGTGGCCCTTGATGGAAGGCAGAAAGGCGGGGTATAAATTTTGTAATACGAATAAGAAGAGCCCTGCTGAGTCAGACCAGTGGTCTGTTTAGCCCAGCGTCCTGTTTTACACAGTAGCCACAAGCAGTGCATAGAGGCTGAAGCTTCCCCGGATGTTGCTTCCGAGCCCTAGGATTCAGTGGAGTTTCCCTTCAGTCAGGGAAGAAGGAGAGGTGGGGCTGAATCCGGGCCTTTAGTCTGGGGCTGATTCCACTCCCAGGTAGCATGTTCAGAAATGGAGCGACGGAATCCAGGTTTTCCGGAAAGAAGGACTGACTCTTAAACTGGCGTGCTGGCACACCTTGGTTTTGTTTGCCTGGATCGTCTGTGTTCTGCACATGCAGTGCCATGGCACATGGGAATTTTCCAGCCTTACCTCCCCCTTGCTGGGCAAGATGCCATCTGCTTGTTCCCCCTCCCCCCAAAAAAGACATGCTGGAGCAGCTGAAGTCAACTACCAAATCCCCCCGTATTTCTCCGTTTCCTGGGAGGGGCCGACGGTGATGCATCCTCTGCTGGGCTCCAAGCCCCTGGGAAGTGCCCGGTCCTGCCAGTCCCTGATGCCCATCCCTCTTATTGATGATGATGATGACTTCTTTACAACACTTGTATTCTGCCATTTTGCCCTCACAAGGGCCCCCAAGGTGGCTAACAATTTAAAATAAACACCAGGAAATTTAGAACCATTAAATCAGCCCCCCCTCAAAGCGCACACACACATCATTAAAACAATTTAAAAACAGAGTTAAAATACATACAAAATACAAAAACAGCAATTAAAACGTCAGTTGGGAAGGAGGGGTCCGGGCCCTGCGGGACCTTATACAGTTCCGCAGGGCCTGCAAGACGGAGCTCTTCCGCCAGGCTTTTGAGTAGGAGCCGCTGCCACTATTCCACCACTGAGATACCATCTTATCATCTACCCCTATTACTGGGGGTGGGGGTGGTAGACGCTGCCCTGGCAGAGATGGGGAAAATATCACTCCTGGCGCTCATGCCATTTAATAAAACTGGCCGTCAATGTGGGATGTTGCATATCTTGGGGGATTTAATGTAGAATAGTAGAGCACCGAATTTTATTATGTATATAACATTGTTTTATTGTTTTTATTCGGCATTGCCGCTTGTCAGACGCCCTGAGCCATTTGGGTAGGGTGGGATACAAATCTAGAGCTGTGGAACCCCACCCCGGCGTGCACGTCAGCCGGATGCGACGGGATGACCCCAGAGGGGAAAACATAGAGTTTTCCCCTTGGGACGCCGTCTGGGAGCCCCCCTCTCCGAAGAAAAACGGACTTGGGAACCCTATACAAATCCCAAATAAATAAATAAAATAAAATAAATAAAAACAGCAATTAAAACGTCAGTTAGGAAAGAGGGGTCATTGAGGGAATGCCAAACGAAACAAAAAAGTCTTTGCCTGCTACCGATAGACGGCAACAGAAGGGGACAGGCAAATCTCCCTGGGGAGCGAGTTCCAGAGCTTCGGTGCCACGACTGAAAAGGCCCTCCCCCCGGGTTGCCACCCACCTAATCCCAGGAGGGAGGGCACTCGAAGCAGGGCCTCCAAAGATGACTGCAAGGGTCAGGCAGCTTCATAATGGTTCTTAACAGGTTCCTTAAGGCACGTTGGTCCCAACCCATGAAGGGCTTTAAAGGTCAAGACCAGTACCTTGAATTGTGCCCAGAAACAAATTGGGAGCCAGTGTAGATAAGTCAAGACTGGAATGATATGGTCCCTATGACCCACTCCAGTCAGCGTCCTGGCTGCAGCTTCTGTACCTGTCAGGTTCAACAGCAAGTAAATCTCCACACACGTTTCCAGGGAATCGTTATGCTTTATTAGACTGCAGGTCTGTTGCCATGATCTACAGGTATATTGTTAGGAATGACAATGGGGCACATGCATCCCTTCATATAACATGATGCTGCAAATGGCTAAGCAAATGTAACCTCCCGCGCGTGGGAATTCTCCCGGCGGGAGGTTACATAATGAACAGGAGCATCTCCCTGCCTCATGAGAGCAGAAATATTCACACCAACCTCCTCAAGGTTAGTCGGATAACCCAGTCTGGCAGCGCCAGTTCGCACGGTCTCATGAGTGCCTCTCTATCGCTGTTTACAGAGCGAGCAAAGCAAGCATGCGCCATAGCGCCACAGTCAGAAAAGGACAAATACAAATGAAACATGGCAGCTAGCTGACATCACCCTCTGCAGTTTCCAAACACTTCTCAATAGCAGCCCCATGTGGAGCGCGTTGCAGTAATCTAACCTTACCCCTCCTCTGGCCTGAGTTCCACTGCCGTTTCCTTGCTCTGTTGTAGGAGACGCGTTGATTGACAGTGGTGACCATTACTGGGAAGTCCGCTATGACCGGGACAGCAAAGCTTTTGCCGTCGGGGTGGCCTACCGGAATCTGGGCAAGTTTGACCAGCTAGGCAAGACGCCTGCCTCGTGGTGCCTCCACCTCAACAACTGGCTCCAGGTCAGCTTCACGGCAAAGCACAACAACAAAGCCAAGGTCTTAGATGTGCCGGTACCCGACGTCATTGGCATCTACTGCAATTTCCACGAAGGTGATTTCCAGGAAAACCTTTTTGGTTTGTTTACCAATGTTTGGTCTGTCCAATTTCCCTTCAGGGACAGGGCAAGGAATGGAGTGCAGTCCAGAGCAGGGCTTGTGAGAGGAGACCCACTGGGACTCTGATCTGCCTGGAAGACCATTCTTGCGTGACCGTACATTTTTGAAAATATGACATGGCCTCCACTTTGGTCCGCCTAGGCCACTTGGCTAGCAGGGGCTGCTGAGACGGGCTTTTCCCCAGCCAGATTTTTGTAGCTGGAGCTGGTAGGAGTTGAACCTGAGGAACCTGACACATAAGACCCACGGCTGGCATCGAGGGTCGGCAGAGCAGCGCATTTCCTGAGGCCCGTAGCCCCATGGACCTCACACTGCTGACCAGAAACCCATGTCCTGTCCTCTCCCGTGTGGAACAGACAGTCAACTCACCAGCCCCTGTAATGTCACAGGGCTGATTTCCTGTTTCCTGCTGGGAGAGGCCTCTGGAGGAAAAGGAGAGTGACGCTTTCCCCTTGCTGATTCTGAAGGAGCATGAAAAGGGCATGCTGCACTCCCTCTTGTGTGCGCACAGATGGACAAGGAGACTGCGGGCTTAGCTGAGTGGTCATCTGACTGGCCAACTCAGCTAGGCCTGACTTAGCCACTGAGCTATGAGCCCTCCTTTACCTCATCATTTTAAGTGTATGGGGACTGAATAGACTGGTAGATTGCCTGCTGGCTGGAAGAAGCCGGGGCTGCTCCGATTCCTTTAACAGTAAGCAAACATCAACAGTGGTTGATTCCTCTAGCACAGGTGTGGCCAAACTTGCTTAACATAAGAGCCACATAGAATAAATGCCAGATATTTGAGAGCCACAAGACATGAACAAATATAACCCACATGTTTTTATTGGAAAATATGCAAATTTTCTTTTTAAATTAATATTAAATGAGACTGCCAAAAATAAAAACAAAAGGGGTAAAAACAGATATTGATAATGATATTTAACCTTAGATGGGGAGGGAGGGGAGAAAGAGAGAGAGAGAGGAAGGAAGGAAGGAAGGAAGGAAGGAAGGAAGGAAGGAAGGAAGGAAGGAAGGAAGGAAGGAAGGAAGGCTCTTTTTGTAGCAGGAACTCCTTTGCATATTAGGCCACACACCCCTGATGTAGCCAATCCTCCAAGAGCTTACAGAGCTCTTCTTACAGGAGCTACTGTAAGCTCTTGGAGGATTGGCTACATTAGGGGTGTGTCGTTTAATATGCAAAGGAGTACCTGCTGGAAATAATGGGGGGCAGAGGTGGAAGGAAAGCACAGGGAAGGGAAGACCAACCAGGGAGGCATGCCTTCCTTTCACTTCCGCAGTCAACCTACAGGGAGCCGCAGAATATCTGTGAAAGAGCCACATGTGGCTCCCGAGCCACAGTTTGGCCACCCCTGCTCTAGCACATTATGCTGTTAAAGACACAGAAGGATGCCTGGTACAAAAGTCGTCAGCCTAGGGTTGCCAAACTCCAGGTGGTGGCTGGAAATCTCCTGGGATTACAAGTTATCTCCAAATGACCAAGATCAGTCCATCTGGAGAAAGTGGCCTCTTTGGAAGGTGGATTCTATGGCATTAGACCCCACTGAAGTCCCTCCCCAGTCCCCGTTCCCGAAACCTCCAGGAATTTCCCAACCCTGAGCTGGCAACCCTGTGTCAACCCCATTTTCAGTTCCTTGGCTCAGAGAGCTATCTTTTGTTTACGCATCTAAGAAAGTACCATGTGCATCAATATGTTAATAAGAATAATTAATAATAATATCGTAATTGAGTGATAGTCCTTTGCATATTAGGTGACACCCCCCTAATGTAGCCAATCCTCCAAGAGCTTACAGAGCTCTTCTCACAGGGGCTACTGTAAGCTCTTGGAGGATTGGCTACATTAGGGGTGTGTCGCCTAATATGCAAAGGAGTCCCTGCTACAAAAAGAGCCCTACAGCACCCAACTACTCAAGTAGCGTTACCACGTATTAGAAGGCCGTGCGCATCTGAATGAGGGCAGCAGCCTCCAGCTGCGTTGACAACTCTTTTGACAGCTGAACTGAAGACACCCCCCCCTGCAATTGACCCCTGAACTTTCCGCCTTTTGCTGCTTCACTCTCAGTAACCCCCATCATGGCCTACAACTAGTGTTCCCTCTAAGCTGAGTTATTGTGAGCTGGCTCACAGTTTTTTAATCTCCAGTTCGCAGATTTCTGTCTTAGCTCAGGAAGGAGGGCTCCAGAGCAAACTAATTGATGCAGCAGCCAAATCGCTCACTCACAACTTTAATGCCAGTTGCTCACAAAGTAGAATTTTTGCTCACAAGACACCACAGCTTAGAGGGAGCATTGCCTATGACTCCTTCCTAAGCCTCTTCTCTCCCCCCAAAGGAGACCAGCTTCACTTTTCCCTCTCTCCTCTGCTTGTAGGTTTCCTCTCCTTCTACAATGCCAAAACAAAGCAGCTCCTGCATACGTTTCGGGCCAGGTTTACTCAACCAGTTCTTCCAGCCTTCATGGTAAGAAACTTGTCTCGGTGGTGTGTGCACGTTGGTTCTTTAAAACTCACCTTCTGAAGAACTGCGGTTTTGGTTCCTCTAAAGAGCATTCTTATTTATATATTTATTGATCTAAACTGTTTATAGAGCTGCTTTTCCCTGAGGCATCCTGGGTCCCGAGGCAGGTTAAGGGCAATAGGAAAACGATAAATAAACTATGTCATAAAAATAACAAAGCAAATTTTCAGCCTAGTGAAGATTCTGCAGTGGTGATTGAATACTTTCTTGTCACCAGGGCTATTTTTGGGCAGGAACGCACAGGAACGGAATTCCGGCTGGCTCCTGAGTTGGCCACACCCAGCAGGAACTCATTAGCATAATAGGCCACACCCAACAGCAGAAACTCATTAGGATTGGCTACATTAGGGGTGTGTGGCCTAACATGCAAAAGAGTTCCTGCTACAAAAAAAGCCCTGGGTTGTGACAACAAACAAGGTAAACAGAATAAGAAGCAAAAGGTGGGTGTGGCTGGATGACCACACTTCTGGTAACACAGGAGTGTGGCCTCATATGCTAATGACCTGTGCTGTCAGGGGTGTGGCCTAATATGCTAATGAGTTACTGCTGTTGGGTGTGGCCAATTATGCTAATGAGTTTCCTGCTGGGCTTTTTCTACAAAAGAAGCCCTGCTTGTCACCTTGTTGTTTTCACTGGCACAGTCCTGGGGCAGCAGTCCATTCTATTTGCTCAATCCATTCTGTTTGCTCACTTGGCAATGCAAGAAGAAAGTTTAATTGAATTTATTTATTTCTCAAATTTCTACCCCGTCCTCTTGGCCGGAGCCGGCTTGTGGCGGCTTACATAAAAGCAGATAGTTACATTTAAAACACGTTACAATTAAAACAAATTAAAACCATAATAAAGTGCTAGGAGTCATTGATATTCAGTCAATGTAGTCATGCTCATAGCCTGTGAATATTCACCTTCACTGGCTCTCTCTGCCCTGCTTGGCAGCTTTCTTCGTTCTGAATCAGGCGATCCCAGCCGTTTCAGGGATCACCTAACAAATGGTGTGACATCATAGTGTTATACAGCCAATCAGATGAGGCTACAAGGTGATGCCCTTGAGGGCAATTGAGAGTAAGTGAGGGAACTACATATGAGTAACCCGCTTCTTTCAGCATCTCAAATTATTTCATTTATTTAAAACATACATTCTTCCTTACAGAGCTCAAGGCAGCTCACGACTTAGGAAAGATACAGAAAATAAAATACAGAAAAAACAAGGAAACCAAAATTTAAAATCACAGTTCAGCACTGCAAATAAACTTAACCAAACACAGTCCTAAATGAAACCATCTTCAACCGTGTTCTAAAAATCAAAAGTGAGCGAGCCAGGCACCATAGTCCCATACTCATGGGGCTTCCATTAAAAAGGCCCTGTCTCTCTCCCTGTGATGTAAATTCCCAGGCAGGAACACGTGGGAGAATTAGGCAGTCTCAGGCCACCAGGAATCACTTAAAGTGTGAGTTCACAGTACTGGGTAATCAGTCAGATACAGCTACAAGATGATGTTCTTTGAGGGCAATTGAGGGTAAGTGAGAGAGCACTACAAATGAATAGGCCAGTGTTTTCTCAATGTTTTTGATTCTGCCCTGCAATAAATGCATAGCCTTTTATGTTTCAACTAGAAATAAGGCCCGTTGTGGAAATAAATACAACGAGAGCTAGAAAGAGGCTCTGGGAGAGTGCTCTGGCTTTGGGCAAACAGTGTCAGTCTGCTTTTAAAACATGAACCTGGGACCTGCACACCACCAGAATACAGCAGGTTCCATATGCAACTGACATTCCAACTGCCTTGCGGGGGGGGTGTGGAGTTTGAGGTGTGGAATGGAGTGAAGTCCAATCAGCTTCCGTATGCAAAAGACCAGGTTGTCGCAGCAGTTGTGGTGTGGGCGGGACCCGGGCTTTGCCTTCTGATTGGTGGCGATATATGCTGAGGAGCAGTGCCATCAGCCATACACTAAGGGAGTGCATTTTAGAATTAGAACTTTGGCACCCACTATTCAATTATATATAAGGAGAGATTGCCTCTTTGGCCAGGTCCAGTCATCCCCTTGATGTCTCTTCCTTTCCATAGGTTTGGTGCGGCAGTTTCCACGTCTATTCCGGCTTGCAAGTCCCCAGCACCGTCAAATGCCTTCAGAAGCGGAACAGTGCCACAAGCAGTTCCAACGCCAGCCTGTCTTAGAACCATGCTATGGTGTTCGGTTTGCAGGATTCGGCCTCCCTCACCACAAGAGAGGCCCGCACTGCCTGGATAAGCAAGGGGGGAAAAAACTTCTCCTACAACATTCTTTTCATTTCCCTGCCGGTTCTCCGATCCGCATCTGCACCACCACCCGGCCAAAGCAGATGGACCAGAGAGCAAGCAACACACCATGAATGTATTGGATTATTGATCTGTCTACGATTGTAAAACACCTCTCTGTATCGTCAGTCACAGAGTCCTTCCCCCTCCACCACCATTTTTTTTTTACTGGCTCTACAGATGCAGGGAAAGCTCAGATTTTGGGAAGTCCAGAAGCTCAGTTTCAAAAGAATAGAATTTTCAAGCAAGGCAAAAAATTTAAAATTCAACAGCAGTCTAAATTCTGTGCCAAGAAAATTACGTAGATGAAGCTCCTTTGCATAATAATTTAATCTTCAAGGATGGGTCCTTCCTAACCAGCTGGAATGTCCCTTGGCCTCTCCTCGGCTTCCTCACAAGCGAGGACCACGTGCTACCCAGGAGGACTAGACGTTTGCTTACTTTTTTTCACAATGAAGCAGAGATTTGAAGAGCCAAACTACATAAAGCTACAAATGCATCGCATGAATGGTTTTAACTGAACGATAGCAGCCCCCTTGATTTGGAAGGCATCTTCGGAATTCTGACACAGGAGGCGGAGCCAGCCACAAAATGGCTGCCACAGCTTGCCTTCATTCACTAGCCCTGCTCCACCTTGCCCTACCCACTCTCTAAAAACACTTGGTGGGTGCCATTATGCCCATGGCCATCACGTCGGGGACCTCCCGGTTTACCCTAATTCCTATTTCCCCTTCCTACCTACTGGGGGCCACATAGGGGGGGCCGTGTTTATTTTGCCAATGGAGTAAAGATCAAGTGTGGAGGGAGCCAGTCTGCGGTTGGCAAAATGGCACAGAGAGGAAAAGACACCTCCCTCCTCTGCCCAAGCTCCATCCCTACATATACAGAGCTGTTCTTTATCATATTAAAGATGCCCAGCTGAACCCTTCAAAAATCCTCTCAGTCAGTCTGGCCTTCAGTAATTTGGATTCTGAACCCGACCCCGTAATGTCTGCTTTCTCCAGAAAGCACAGAATAGCCATTGCCCAGTTCTATGCAGGAGTTGAAAAGCCTGGGATTACAGAACGGTCATCCACCATGTATTTCTCCCCCCCCCCCAACTGTTCTGGAAGTAAAATAACCTCACAAGACTAGAAGTTGCTCTGCCCGTTCACACTTACACGAGAATGGGGTGCCCAAGGTCCGCTTCTTTCTCACCTTGCAATCGCCTTCTGACCTTAATAAATTTTAGGTTGTGGCGCAAGCCTTGTTTTGGGTTGTGTGTGTGTGTCGGAGGGCTTGTGGGAAACCAAAAATGACTCCCCCTCCCCTCCCTGTGGCAGTGCACTGCCACAAAAGATGTGTTGATGGCTTGAAGGAATTATTAGACCAAGTCATGGGAGGTAGTCTACTGAAAGCTAAAGGAAACCCCCACGTGTGGGGGCAGATTGCCTCAGAATATCAGCTGCAGGTCTGGGCCTTCCTTGGAGCATCTGACCTGGGAAAAGGATAGTGGACTGGGGAGCCCAGGCCCTGATGCAGCAAGAAGTTTATCGACACCAATTAAGTTTGATGGTTAAGTAGAGCTTCCATGTTCAGGAGAGGTCTTCCTGTACTAGATAGCCTGCTTGTGAGCATCTGGAAACAGGGTGCTGCACTACATGGAACGTTTGCCCAAGGCTGCAGGACTGGATGTTCTTATGGACGACAGCTGGCAGCAGAGCAGAGCATCCATGTTCAAGAGAAGTGTACCACCTGCTAGGGAAAAACAAGGCTCTAACAGCTTGCTGACCCCCACTGGAATTTAGGGTGATGGGCCACCAGTCTGGTTCAGTAAGGCAGTCCTTGCCATGATGTGTGCCCTGACTCACCCTATTTCTGCCCCCCCTCCCTAGGAACATCCTTGGCTCAGCATTCGCTTGTCATTAGTTTTCCCTGGACCCTACAGTCTCCCCAGCTCTCCTAATCTTGTGATTGGTATGTGTGGGTGTTGGACCCTACAGTCTCCCCAGCTCTCCTAACCTTGTGATTGGTGTGTGTGTGGGGGGGGTGTTTTGGTGTTCCAAACACTCCAAGAGTTGCACGCCTTCCTCCAGAGTTCTGTCCCCAGTGATATTTCCACTTTGAGGCAGTAAAAATCTGATACAGCCCCAGTATGCATGGAGCATAGAAGCCTCTGAGCCTCTGCCACAAGGGGTTTCCAGTCTACAGTCGAATGCGTCGAGTTGCCTTCTATCAAGCCAGGCCCCTGGTCCCTCTAGAGCCAAGCCTTGTCTGCTCTGGGGCTCTCCAGGGTCTTTCTCATTAGCTGCTGCCGAAGACCCTTTAACTGTATGTCCTGGGACTGGACCTGGGGGCCTTCTTAGACACGGCCTGTACTGTGCCCCTGGCTGGGGGATGAGAATAGGGACATTCCGTGACATCACAGCAACCAACCCAATGACAAAGGGAGAGTCTAAAAAAAAAATGCCATTTCAGCCGGTGGTGGTGGAAAGCACTCTCAGGTCACAGCCAACTTGTGGAGACCCCCACAGGGTTTTCAAGACAAGAGACCCTATTTCTAGATGAAATATGAAAGAGACCCTATTTCTAGTTGGACTAGATGACCTTGGGGGTCTCTTCCAGGTCTGTGATTCTATGACCTTCAGAGGAGGTTTGCCCTTGTCTGCCTCTGTATAGCAGCCCCGGACTTCCTTGGTGGGTCTCCCATCCAAGTACTAACCAAGGCCATCCCTGCTTAGCTTCCAAGATCTGATGAGATCAGGCTTGCCTGGGCTATCCAGGTGAGAGTCACTTCACCTACACAGACTTAACTTAGATGTGAGCACATCTCTCTTTGGTGATATTTCTAGCCCTTCAGGTGTATCAACTAGGGTTGAAATGAAGTTGCATATCTGAATAGCGCACTACTGTGAATTTCTGTAGCAACTCAGGTAAGTCACTCGTCTCTGGCGCCCAGTTCGGAGGTACAAAACCAAAACAGCATCGGTTGCTATATGAACCAAACTTTATAGAGCTGTAGCTAAACATTTTGAGGAGGGCTGCTTCAAATCAAGCTGAGAGGTTCAGACATATACGCACCCTGCCCCCACTGTTCTTCCTGGGCCGCAGTCCCCATCCACACTGCCCAGGTACTGCTGAAGGGTTTTCTGCTAGTCAAGTGCACCTCCCTACAGCATTCCATGACGGTTATCAGAACCTTCCGCTAGCAGTTACAATGGTAACATTCTGTGACATCACAGCAGTCCAGCCAATGGTTAAGGGACCGTTTCGAAGTCAGACAAGCCATGGCTGTATTGTCTGCAGTGCTCCTCAGTGTGGTAACCAGGAGCACCATTAGGGTTGCCAAATGTGAATCGGCCGGAAGCGGAAGTGAAGTCGCACGCTGGGGGCGGGGCCACGGCATTTGAGGGGAAGCGGAATCGGGGCTTGAAAGCGGGGGGGGGGAATCCCGGGGGCATTTGGCAGCCCTAAGCACCATGGTGGCTGTGCCTGATTTCCCAGGACCTAAGTCTTGGGCTAAGGGTCTTCTTGACTGAATGGAATGGAGCTTTGTGTCCCTCCTTACCCGCTGACTAGCAACACACCACGCTCATCCCAGGCAGGCAAATCACAGCCACGTGCTCCCAGTTTGGCAGCAGAGACTTTCTTCAGGCTGACAACCTCGTCCTGTGGCAGTCCAGTCATCAAACCTTCCCCTTTTCTTTGGAACTGAAAGTCTCATGTCTTTTCCCCAAAGCAAAGAGATAATCCCACCTCATGGTGGCCATTTCATGGTGGCCATTTTTATGGTGGCACTCTGTACACTTTTTCAAAATTCCATGAGTGCCGACAGATTCAAGATGAGTGGGGATTTCCAAAGTCCAAATCCAGCACAGTTGTCAGTGCTGGACACAATTCCCAGTTTTTAAATCAGCTATGGGGCAGAGAGTCACTGTTGTTGTTTTTAGAAAAAAGGATGGAGTCCTTTAAAATACAAGGTCACCTAATACTGTATAAGAAGATTCAATGGAACAGAGAATCAGAGGTGGACTGGGAAACACATCGATTTCAGAGAGGGCTGGGCCAAAACCTTCTAAGGCCACCATAACCTCCTGTGCTTGAATTAGGACCAGAGCGTTACGACGAGAAGTCTGCCTCGCTGAGGTCCAGCGTCGCCCTCCGTTCCTTAAGCTTCTTTTCCAGTTCCTTGGACATACCTGCGAAAACAAAGCTGTGTGTGACTGCGCTGCACAACCACGGAAACTGGAAACTGGGCAGAGTAAAAATGACATCAGGCACACAATCCAAGTGTAGCATCAATAAAGTATAATTTAGAATGTCAATCCTGGCCCAGCTCTTTCCAAATCTGTTTTTTTTTAGAAGTGCCAGTCTTCTCACATGAGGAATGAAGTTCATAACTAGCTACATCTAACTCACATGAATGCATTCCCCTATTTAAAACAGCAAGACTTCTCAACACCCTCCCCACCAGCGTTCTTGAGAATTTCAGCTTTGCATTCCCCTATTTAAAACAGCAAGACTTCTATTCCCCTATTTAAAACAGCAAGACAACCCTAACCCACCAGCGTTCTTGAGAATCTCAGCTTTGATCTGAAAAAGAGTACATTTCTAGTCCTTAATGTATGATTTAGCTGCTCTCATTTCTAAAAAATGAAATTTTCAAAGGCTAAAGCCTTGCCTGCTGTCTCCTTTGATGCAGAAGACCCCCTAACTGGGGCTGAGCAGCTGGGATTCATCAAAGATTACTTAATGGATCTAAAGCCAGGAGGAGGTGAAAGCATGACTTCTCCCCACCTTGGAGCATTAATCTGACATCCCCCCCGCCCAGACAGAGGGCAATTTAAAGGAATTTTCTAGTCAGTTCCAGCTAACTTTACTGTTCTGCAGGTGCGAGTCACCCCGCACATGGGCAGATATTCATCAGGGTCATCCATCTAGGCCTGTCAAGTAGGCTCATATAGCTTGGCTGTGGATCGGCATGGGGGAGGGGGAACTCACTCTCACCTGGAAGGTTCCATGGATTTATTTGATAAGGTTGGGAGGTTCTGGCCTGCTATTCCGTATTGAATGCTATCTCCCTGCTTGTACCCTATCCTCTCCATTCCTCCATGCTCCCCAG